AAATTTTCAAAAAATGGATTCATGATTTAATGTTTCAATATCGGACAACTGAACACAATTGAACAAATTCATGAATAGTTTAGCTGAAGGAGTTTTATAGAGATCAATTTAATTTATAGTCTATATTGATGGATTGTAAAAATGATCTTAGATAGAGTACCATTGAAAACCAGAAACGACTGGAGAGCTTATTCGTTCTAGTATTGGACTACTTGGAAGTTTGAACTTATGCTTGTCCAGGTATCAAACAGGATATTACACCACCTCCTAATGGACTGCGTGATTTTGATCAATCCCTGAAAACATTTTGATGGCAACATGATTTTCTTTCACTTTTCATATACATAAATGATTAGTTTTGTAAATGAACTATTTTACATTCGATAGATAAGCTGTCAAGTCAGTTGACCACACAGAATTTATCAAACATTCCCAATTTCATCATTGGAACATTGCGAAGACAATCAAGTATTTAGTATTATCAGTTAGTTAGTTAGTTAGTTATTTAGTTAGTTGACTTAGAACTCATGTGATCAAGTACAACATACAACAAACGAAATACAATACAATTCCGCAACACAAGATAAGCAATAAATCACGAAATGTAGATAGTACAATATCTAAGTAAGAAATGATTGATGATTATAATTAGTGTTGACTTGTGAATGGGAATGAATGAAATGGCAACAGTTGACGAGTAGAATGGAAACGTACAGTTGGAACGAAATAATCGAAATATCATGAAATGAATGTGATTTGATAAATATAGATTAATAAATATGTATGCTGACTCAGTGTCATTAATCTTTGAAATTATCCTATTGCCGTTTATTTGGCCTTTTCTTGAGGAATGGAAATGGTATTTCAGTCAATGAGGCTTAGTAATAAGCCTGATAATTTAATTCTGCATCAATAAACAGTATTATTTCTAACATATATGATAAGCCTGACGCCAAGTTTGGATCTGTCTCACGTCATATGATAAGCAGTAAGTAAGTAGTTTGAAACATACGACAAATTTGACATGATAATATTTTAATTTTCAAACTCTTACATGTCACTGTAATGGTGAATTGTTTTGACATGATACTCGAATGAAAAGTAAGTAGGGCCCGAATAAAGGCTTGAGACAAGTGTGTGCAACCCTACACATCTACATAAAAAACACATAGTAACCACACAGGTTGTGAAAATTCACTTCCGGTTGGTAAAACTGGTTGCTTTATCTTGATTATACTATTATAGTGTTAGATGACTTTCAAGAATAATTCAGACCCCGTCAAATTTAAATTCCGAAGCACCAGAGGCAGGTAGGGGGGCATAGAAGTCTCGCAATCTAGACTCAAGCCTCCTAGTTTTAATAAAACCCATCAATTTTCACAATACACACACTAATAATGTCATGATTACTTAAGAGCTAAATTCGACAAATTTCTAGTTGGGAGTTGTACCTTATATGGTTATAATCTAATAGACTGAGACAAGAAGAGACGAGGAGACACCATTTCATTAGTATTTGCTGAAAGCAAACAATTTTACTGTTGTATTCTGACTCAATGATCTAAATGTATCCTGTTCACATTTGAAAAAAACCAGGATAAATTTGGTTCATGATTCTTTGTGTGTGTAGTAGTAGTAGTAGTAACATGACACTAGGAAGAAAATAGTTGTTCAGTGCTTTCTTGTATCTTTAATATTTTAGAAAATCCATGCAAACTTATCAAAAACATTACCCTTCATAGTGTTTCTTTTTTTCGCACGAACTCACGCACGCATAATGTTTCAGCAAGTTATGGAGAATTTACCGAACAAAATCATTCAGTAGAAAAGAATAAAAAGGAATATTTAAAAAGTAAACCGGATACATTTAACGCGCTTAACCTGTGTTAAAAAATGTGATATTTTTCACGATAAAATTTACTTGGTTTTTCATAAATTCTGAGAAGTTTTATCCGAATGCTATCAGGAAAGGTTAGATGCAATCGGTAGAAAGCCTTATGTGGAAGCTTCATATTAGTTGCCATTTGTCAGACTTTTGATGAAACCGACCCCTTATGTGGGATCTCAACACACATTTTAGTCATGCATTCAGAGATAATACCAATTAAATTATACAAGTTACGGCTGACCTACTTTAGAACTGAGACATTCACATTGATTACAGAATAATAAGCAACATCCTGTTTGTTCATTCCTTAATCCTGATAGACTAATAAGTCGTCTTGGAAATCACCTCCAATTATCTAAGTTCGATACAAAGTGCTCATGATATTCAGCCACTTAAATTAGTGACCCCATTGTAACTATTCAAATGTAAGACTGATCATTACATAGAGATGAATCAGTGTTCTCGCCATTTGATATATGTCAAAAATTGTTTCGAATAGATGAGTCGATAATCATGTAATATTTTATACTTTAAGAGTTATTCCATCCTTACTCTAAAGGATGAACATCCAAATGTGAAAGTTAAATTCAATATCTCAACAAGCTGATAATACATTTGAATCAATATATCGGTTGGAAATCTTGTAGCTACTAAGATCGTAATTTAAAGAAAGAAACTGTGAACATCACCGGATAGAATGTTAAAGACAAAAGGTTTCTACAACTTGACTTTTATTCCACTACTAATGTTAGTTTTATCCCCAGTAAATGTTATATGTGTATGTTTCGTTTCTAAATATGCAGACAAAAACTAAAGCAAGATGTTTTCAATAAATGATATACTCTTGTACAGTTATAAACCTAACAATTACTAATGGTCAGTAAAATATCAGAGTTAATTAGGAATATTATTGGGAACAATTTTCAGAATAAATTACTAGCTAGGAGACCATTGAAAAAGATCACAGAATACTGGTTAATTAAGTCATCCTACTTTAAGACTCCAGAAATTTACGTTTACAAATAGGTCCAAGAACGAACCCAACAATTCTAGTGACATTGGATCAATTAGATACCTACCAAATGGTAAGCGTACGTGACTGAAAAAGAGACGACTTTCATTTCTAAAGGACAAAACATACAACAGGGCTGGCTTAATTTCCCAAGGCATATATATATATATATATATATATATATATATATATATATATATATATATATATGAGCACACATATGTTTCGATTTGGTTAGAATAATGAACTTTCTTTTTCACTCGAGTAGCCGATCAGGCTCGTGTATGGCCAGACTGAGTGTCAGTATCAAGTATCGAATAATGCGCGTCACGTTTGTTCAAGTATAGTCATTAAAGGTATGCAGAAAAGGGAAAATTGAGCCGGCTTTTTTGAATTCACAATTTTATGATTGTTTTATCAAGAATGTGAACCTTCATTCCATACCAGGATTAACGTCCATTTCTATTCAAGCGTGATGTGTGAATTAAATCTAGAATGTGACAGAATTGAACCTGAGCAAAACATAACGTTCAAAATAATTTCGAAACCTTCTCCTCTATACGTAATAATCTATTATTTCTTTTAACTGACCTAACTGATTGTTATTATTTAAAGTTTATTTATTTATACCAAGAACTTAATGTCCAGTCAAAACTCCAATAATTTCAAGTAATTAATTAATCTACTGAAGTTCCCAACTGAAAGTCAACATCTATCAGATTAACCATTAATGCAATAGTAACTCGGAGAATACATGTTCATCATATTGACAGATATCCAAAGTAAATTAATTTCATCAAATAAGTTAAAACAACGGTGTTATTAGACTAAGTAGGTTAATGAGAATTTATGTGTATTTCAATGGCTAAGCGCCCACTACAAAATATGGAGATCTTTGGATTATGTCCCTTGGCGATGTTTTGCGTGAGTACTGTTGAGAAGTACCACTCTAGATCAAAACGATTGTCCAATACTCACTTGTTTTCAATGGGACACAGATTAATATCAATTTCTGCTGAATATTGCCTGAAAATGTTACCATTATTTTGATAAACGAAATGTATAGGCTAGTATCCATGTATTTAAATAGGGTGATAGGATACGTGTTCGTGAGTTTTTGATGCATCTGCCTCTCAGTTTTCAATACGATTGCGATATACACCATTTTTGCGCTCATTTAGTGAATAAATGCATAATTTTCACAGAGGACTTCATTTCAAGCTATAACTTTCACTCGCTCTTGTTGTTCTTTTCAGCCGGCAAGTTGAGATGTGCCACAATAAAATGTTCATAGAAAACCTATGTAGATAGTTTCAGATGACTGAAATGAAGTCCCGAGTGGAAATTGCATTCTTATATGCAGCACTGAAATACTAAATGAACGGCAAATTTTTACAAAATGCCAGATATAGCAGTCTTATTAAACATTAAAAAAGGGTGGTTATCATTACCATTTAGTAAAGAAATTCATGAAGAACGTTTTATAATCATGGACAAAAGTTGAAAAGATTTAATGATTAAACTGACCCTAAATCGTAAGACTTAATAGATCAAAGGTCAAAAACACAGCTACAGAGTCGAACGAACATATCTCTTTTGCATTTCAGGAAAGTTAGCAATATGCAATATAAAATTAGAATTGTGTGCATTTCCTTTCTTACAACACTCATAGTTTCCTCATCTAGATTTCTATATTTTCTTTTAAGTTCCACTTAAGGATATGTTCTACCGTTTAACCTTTCTATCTTCAAATCACATGTAATCTTATCCCTAATTAATTATTACAACTGAATATATTACGTTAGAATCCATTGAATTCATTCATTTGTTCTATTCTTATTATTACTACTACCATATAATCACCTTTCGTTCATTTCTATCCTTATTTATAATGACCTTCACTTACCTGCTTGAAAAACCGCACTCTAAATTTTTGTTGTGTAATTATTACTTCCACAAGTCATGTTATTTCTAATCAGTTTGATGATTCATTTCCTTCTCTATATTTATGGTCTGTTTTACCCATTTTTATGAACTATACCTCATGAATCTTATCATTATCAATTAACAATTAAAAGGAAAATTTATTCTTCCACATACCTTGCATGCTTCACAGACATATGCATTACAATGAAAACCGGCAGCTACATCACCACATATATCACATGGCTTTCTATCTTTAATATTTAATCCACTTAATTGTTGGTGAGGATGATAATGATTTGGACATGAACGATGTTGACTTGATACATCCAAACTTGGATTAGATTCCAGTACGTTTTGCTCGGATTGTAAAGGAAAATCTTTATTTGATGTAAGAAACATCAATGAATTAGAAGGTAATGATTGTGACGGTGAATCTGTTTGATTCCATGATAACATGGGACTATAGTGATAAAATGGTATGGGATCCGAATGACACAATTCCTCTCGTTGTTGATGGTGATGATGATGATCAAAACGATGCGAATTATGTTGATAAGTTTTAAGATGTTGTGGTCGTGCAATTTGTGATAGTTGTTGCTGTTGCTGATGTTGATGACCGTGATGATCTGGGTGGTGGTGATGATGGAGGATTACTGTCGGAGATGTCAAAGATGATGATAAAGAATTACATAAAGATTGATTCTCATTCTCAAGACGACTGTACATCATACTGTTTACCATAAACAAATATTGTTCCAAAGTGGGAAATAATGAAAAATTGGCGCGAGATATTTAACTGTGCAGAAGTGAAATACTGAAGTATGTTAGTGTATTTTATGTCTAAATACACATTTACTTAATATCTATTGAAAATTGAAAAAGAAATAACGAGCGATTATCACCCAATAAAAAATTTCTAACCACAGAAAAAAAACAAGTAGTACATCACATTCTTTATCACACTGGTAGTTATATTGATTTAGTAAAGCAACAACCTAAGACCAACCATCTCAATGGGATTGGGAACATAATTGGTAGTCCGAATATTGACAGTATACCATACTAGGCTGAACATATATCTTAAACAATTTAAGACGTTACAAAGTCATATATATGTACACAGGGTTGTCATCTTACCTAGTGTAGCATCAGCTTGGTGTTCAATTTTGTTTCCCAGTTACTGAAGTAAAATTAGAGATCACCTGATTTAGGATTCAGACTCTCTCGTTTTAACCCAGTGAACTGACTTAACAAAGTTTGATTTAACTGATCATTATCATTCCAATCTATAAGTTTGAATTTTTTTGTGAAGTTTACTGAATTTCAAATGCTGAGAAAACATCTTACATACCATGTAGATCACATTATTCATGCCCATTATTATTAATTCAGCCCTCAGAGGAGTTAGCAAATTAGAAACTAAAGTTAATTTTAACAAATTTTTAAGTCAGATAGCTCATTATCATCTAATACTGTATTTACTTTTATAAATGATCGATTCAACTACACCTCAGTCATCTTAGTGTTTTGTAGCATCAGTTGTTTCGTTACAGAAAGAAAATTTATTCACGTTTCTGCTACTTAGTTCGTATTAATGTGTATAGTGATCTCAGATATTCAAAGTGAACTCAACTACATGATCTAACTTACTTGAAGATCATTATGATAAAGAACTCACACCACTTAACGAAACACTGAAAATCAGTAAACACTGGGAAGCTGATTCATTTCGCTGTACACACCACTACAAAGCATATTTAGATCTAACAAAGTACTATCAATATGCTGAGTTAGACTTCAATTATCTATGTTTTTAATTGAGCAACTTGGCACAGTTCATATCAAATGTTATGGATCATAAGTTATTGGCATACTCTCGCGATGTGACTTCTTGTCTCTTGATGAAAATAATAATTGGTGAAAACATAATTATTATTAGTTAACATAATATCTTCTAGTTTTAAATGTCATTCGATTTGAGGGATTAAAATGGTAGAAGAAACTTTATTCTTTAGAAAAATGGGAGGAAACTCTACTGAAAGCTTTCATTTCATTAATTTTATTATAATCTTTATTGTAAACAGAGGCTAGGTGGGAAATTATTGCCTTAGTCTGCGATACCTCAATAAAATCCAACCAACTGGTCTCTACTGCAAAAGTGTAAGCAGAAATTCGTAAAGAAACGTATTTCCATATTATGAATCCACTTAGTATTCTGAAGGCTATGTGCCCCCAACCAAACGAGATCTGAAGAAGTTATGGATATAATATACATAAATTTCACTTCAAGGATAGAGCAGTGTTTAAACATTCAATAATTACAATAGTTGAAATCATGAGTCAATTGAAGCTAGACCACCATGGAAAACATGGAAGCATTGAACGGCCGTTTCGTCCTATTGTGGGACTCCTCAGCAGTGCGCATCCACGACCTCGCCTCGAGAAATTCGAACCATGATGAAAAAATGGTGTGTCTTAAAAATATTGAACCGGAATGAATTTTAAAATATCTAACGAAAATGCGTATCATAATAAGTTATTTAGCGTAAAAGCTAACGGTTTTTTTATGGAACTTATTGAAACTATTTTTTATTCTTATTATAAACTTTATTAATAAATGATCATATTCTGGATGATGAATTTAAGATTTGTGTTTCATTTTATCTGGAACTCCTCACCTAGATATACTGTTGATATTCATGTTGGAACATTAACCTAATATTTACATCCTTTCTAATGCTGAAGTTTGGTTGAAAATATGAACAAAAAAGATCGGTCAATTTCTAAGCATCTGTTCCAAGAGATTGTAAAACAATAGGGGCTATTCTAAATCAATCATGAATATTATCGACAGGATAATTCAAACATCTACAAATATTGATCAATGAATATATACTTGTAAACTCTTAAAGTGATGTAAAACATTATTTAGACTTTGTATTGCATTATTTTATTTAAATTATTAACATTGTCAATGAAATTGTGAATACCTCAATAAATATATTTCTCTAGATTAATCGAAAAAAATATTTTCGCGAAAAGTTCCCATTGATATCCGATAAATTAGTTTCCTAAAAGAAAGCTGATATAAATTATTGAATCCTAACAAAGTGGTCTAAGTGTTAAGCGCATATTATGTAATCTGAAAGTCCTGAGTACAATGCTCAATATATTTATGGATTTCAATTTCTGTGGATTTTCACACTGGGACGAAACGGATGTTCAATGCTTTCTGGTTATTACAAGTTGTTGTTTAGTTACATCCACTTTTTCATATGAATTATGAGAACAAACTATCTTAGTTGAGTATTTTTGTACCTAAGTGCCAGTCAGAAGGACAGTATATATTTCATCATTTTTAAAAATGTTCAGTCTAGATATAATAGTCTAGTTCCCATAAACAAAATGGCAGTTCAATTAGCTTATTCAAACATTCAATGTATTATATCAATTCATCAATCGAATAATCATAATAACCAAATATTATCCGTTGGATAAGTCTTGTAATCATAGCTTGACAAATACGAGTTCTACCCAATTATTTATAATTTTGTGATTCATGAGAAATATGGAACTACTGTATGGATGTTATAAAACTAACCATTTTAATAAACAATAAGACAAGATTCATAATATTGTGTAGAAAGTTCAACATATTCCCTTTAAAAATGTGTCTTTAACATTTGTCTAATTAAGAAATAATTTCAGTCACATTATCATGGTTGAATGTTTTGTATTGAAATAATAAGTTCAATTTCACAGATTTAGTTAAGTCAATCAATAATTCCAACTTTATTAGATGGTTGAAACTAGTAGGAAACGAATGCTTTTTAACCTAGGTTTCATTGTCAGTTGACATTTGTCACTGAGATTTACCTGTAACTTTAAGAGGATTGATACTCCCCTATTGTAGTCAAATCCTAGATTATTCAGCTTTATCGTCTCAGATGTTACCACTGAATGATTTAAGCAAAGATTAATATCCTGTAGGTCTGAAATATTTACAAATGATTAATCCATCAAGATTCTAGGCATGTCTTACTGATAATTATCAACTACCAACAACAAAAAACAACGCAATTCTATGGTTTTCTATCAGAATTTATTTAAGATAATTCCCTAAGATGAAATAATCATTGGTCATGAAATGGTGAAATGATTAGCTAAACGTGTAAAATATAAAGTAAACCATATTGTTAATTAATCAGATGTAAAGGAGATTAAAAAGTTTTGTCCCAATTTTCCACACATTATATTACAAATATGACTAAATTAAAGGCTCTCTAAGTGTAATTGTACAACTATAATTCACTTTGATAATTACAAATTCACATAAAATACACTAAGTAATATATTCAAAGCATGAAAAAAAAAGAAACGAAAAGAAAAGAAAAGAATAAAACTTACTTTTTGGAAGTAAATGATCAGAATGATTGTGTGTTTAATAAAAGTTTGAATCAATAATTATCCTTTGTATAATTGATAACCAGTTTGTTTCAACGTTGTTGTTGTTGTTGTTGTGTATTCAAAAGTTTATTCGAGAAAAAAAATTGCTCTTGTCCATTCACAAATAAGAATGATTCATTCTTATTGTTTCTGAAAGGAATGTAACTATTTGAATCTTTAGAATTACTTTTTTTTTATTATTATGAAAATTGAATCAGTTTTACACAAAGACGATTTTTTTTTCATGTAAGATATACGTAACAAATAAGGTATTATGACTGACTAACGGAAATGCTGTATATATGTTCATTCTCGATTTGTACTCATTATGTGTTGTGTGTGTACACACACAGTTGTATGAGTCAGTTATGTTTTGTCTTAAATGTTGTTGTTGTTGTTAATACTAACACTACCATTACTAATAATAATAATACTATTATTAATATTATTATTACTATTGATATCATTGTCAGTAAATTCGAAAATTATTAGTGTCAAATTATCTATAGTCTGCCTATTTGTGTTACCCTGTTGATTTTTTTTTTCTAGATTTGAACAAGTTAAACTATATTGTAATTGGTTAGTGAATAATACAGATGCGACATAAATTTATTTACAATGTAACCACCTTAAAAACCCCTGTGTGTATATTCATTGAATGATACATTAATTCGCTATCTTTTTTCATTCGTTCATTGATTTATTAAACTGACCAATTCTCACTCTCTATCTAACTTACCCTATCATATTGTCTGTACTTTTATATTGTCTATACGAAATGATAAATGTGTTATGATGTAACAAAGATCTTCTCTACCCATGTGATTTCATGAAAGAGGATGAACTTCAATGGGTGGGTGATAAGACAATAATGATGTGGATAAGATTCAAAATATTATTATTTTATAATTTTGATTTCTAATTTGTTAATTAACTAAATTTATAAAAGTAGTCAAAAATTACGGGCTGATTTTTATCAACATTATGATAAGATAATTAGATATATCAAATAGTGAAAATTCATTGTGTACCATTATGCATATTAACATATAATGACAGTGTCACATATCAACAAAAGTGAGTGATTTCGAAATGATCCATTTTTTTTAAAACGTAAATAAATATTGTGATTGGTTGGAATAACTGCTTTAAGGTCACTTGGTCTTTATTTTCAAGGTTATAACGTGATTCAAAGAGTTCGACCAAAACAAAATTATTCTTATTTGTAGGTATAGGTTCATTGTAACGTTGCATCTTTGTTAATTAAATGACCATTCCTTTGA